TATTTCTTTACACTATTCTTTTCAATCTTTGTACCTACAAATCAAAAATTTTTAAATATTTATAGCAGAACTGCAAAGATGTATTATATTTGTAAACGATCAAAATGGATAATCATTAGAAAAAAAAGTTTAGATATTATTTTGCCATTGAGCAGCTACGTAATGGGAGCGCACCATTGATTCATCGATTCATTCGCCTAACACCGAGTTGCTCCGAACGAACTATTGTAAAATTTTGCACAAAAATTTCCATAGCACTATTTACAGTGCTTTTTTCGGTCATATCAAAAAAAAAATAAAAAATAAGAAAAAAATAAAGAAAACAAATTTCACGATAATATATACAAATAAATTTAAAATATAAACATATGTGACAAAAACAATAACCTTCTTTGCTTCCTTAAATGTAAAAATTTTACAATTCAAACGAAAGTATACACCTGTCATTTTTTTTTTTCGAGCTTTCGCTCATTAAAAGTGTGAAATTTATAATTTAGTAATAGTTTAGAATTTTCACTTTTATTATTCCCAAAAAAATTTCTAACGCTTGTTGTAAAATTTTTTTCCAGTTTTACAGCTTCTCAGAATAAACACTTGCAGCTATTACAATGTTATATGTAATTTTAATCTTTCACTGACCGATAACGTTTCAGAAATTTAGGTTTTATATTCCATACCAAATAAAAAATTAAACCTGTAGCAAGAAATTTTTCAAATAAAGTCTTAAAATCACATCTCTTGCTTCTTAATTATTAGACTAAACTCTATATTTTTTGAAGATTAGAAAATTTTTTGACCAGTAGAACCTCTGTTTCGGCCATCTAGCCCTCATTAATTCATGCATTTTAAGAGACATTACTTTCCTTCATGAGATCAGTTTCAGTAGTATACAGCTTTATTTATCCCTATCAATATACAAACACTTTTTTGCCTGCAGTTGGTGGAACGTTAAAAATATAGTTTGCAACAGCGATAATCACAACAGCTATTTTTCAAAAAGTATTTTAATGCTTTCACTGTCACGAAACTTTACAAGAGTTCTCTACCGATCGTTTTGATTTGAACATACCGCTACCTGAAATATACCGATTACTTCTCTATTTGTTAAGAGCCGCTGTGCTGTATTTTGAATTACCAGGCTTAGTTCCCCTTTAGTTGTGATACATGTTTTAGGTGCCAATGATTTTTCTTGTTTTATTTAACCATCTCAATATCTCAGCCTGTGCCATAAATTCTAATGAAGCAAATACTTGCCAAGCTGTAAGTAAACAGGCAGTTGCATATTGGTCGTTTTTTTTTTGGGTCAACCCTTCACCGTTCTTTGAAACTTCACAAAATGACAAACTTTTTGCAAAAAGATTACCTCATCAATCTCTCTTAGCAAAAAATAATACTCGCCTACAGTCAAGAAAAAAATATTTTTTTGGCCTACTACGGCTCACCTTGAAGAACTGTACTCTGGTGCTTTTTTACATGATTGAATACGTTTAAAATCCGTTTAGAATGCATAAGTTCTACTTCTCAATTTTTTTCAAACTCAAGCATTCTAATGAGTTTCAAAAATAATAAAAAGACTTCCAAAAACGATGTGAAAAAAGTTGGTTTTCAACTTTTTTTTTTTAGAAAAAACGTTTTTTGTAGAAATTTTTTATCTACAAAATGCAATTCATGTCACGACGAAAACATTGATAGACAGATCATTTATTGAAAGAAGAGTGAGCTGAAATTGTGATAAATAAAATGAAACAAAGAGTAAAGTTAAAATTTTAGGTCATCTGCTCTTGATTAATGCAGCTCAAAAAAGTCAAACCTGAAGTTTTCCAACTGTCATGCTGTTTATCTAAATCTGCGACTAGCAGAAAAAATAACCTGTTCATTGATACTGCGTTCTAGAATTTATTGCACTCTCTATAAAGAAAAACTTCAAATAAGAAGTCTCTCATAGAAAAAAACCAAGATGAATTACTTTTTCATCAGATACAACTTCTGTATTATTTTCCGAACTAAAAAAATAACTAAAGCCTCAAAAGAGCTAGAAGAAACGCTTTTCAAATTAGCCCGAAATATATTTAATTTCCTAATGAGTAAAAGAAGTTGCAATTTTTTAGATTTATGTCAAGTTTTGACTAAGAAAAGAGCTCCCTTACAAACTTGAGAATGTTTTCAACTATGGCAATCTTTTTAGACTCGCTTATAGAAGATTCAAGCTCTATCATTCAACAGTGAAAAAGCGTAGCAGCTGACTGGAAAAATGATTGACCTGATGTGGAATAGGCCAAAAAGGTTCGTTTGTCAACGACAAGCCTAAGGTGCACCATCTCTCATGCCATCGTTTAATATAGGCAGCGAAAAAGGTATTAATTAAAATTTGATCCAATGCAACCAGTTAAACTGACACGCAGTATAGCAGTAAGTAACAATAGACTAGCAGCAGTTCACTCTAGAAAGCAGTTAGAATTTACAGATTATAAGACATTTGCAGTAAGTGTCTTGACAGCAGAAATACTATTAAGGGGCTTTGAGGCAACAAAAATCCGATAAGCACTTCAGTGGATAACGAGTTTCATAATCGCTAACTATAAAAGAAATTTCTTCAAATCTTAACGTAAAGTAGCAGAAAAATTTGCAAACCATAAAACTTTGCTGTAAGAGAGCTAAACATTCCTAAAAATGAATCAGGGCTACGACCAGTAGGTGTAGAAATTGTTCTGCACAAAATGCATAAAATAATGGTTTTTGATATTGCCTATACTAATCTTTTTTAAGTTTTCTTTATGAGATAAAAATGTTAAGAAATTCAACTTTAGAAGTAAAATACGGCTGCGCAAAGCTTTTAAACTAGTTCATGTAAATAGTGTGATTAAGTTTTGAATTAAAAAAATTAAGTAGAAAGTGGAAACAAAAAAGATAGAGAAATTTTCAAGTGAAAAAGTTTAATTTTTTTGCAACATTTCATTACTGCCAGGATTTTGACTATAGTGTCTTGCCACTTTCCTGCTGAAATCTACTGCTTACCACCTTACAGAAAAGCAACGCTGTCGTCTAGCTGCTCGCTAGTTTTTAAGGAAGACATTGAATACGGCAGTTCACTTCTGAAAAGTGATCAGAGACGGTCTCTACAACGACGATGATGTGCTTATGGCGAAACTCGAGCAAAAAAATTTATGTGTACAGATAAGTTACGATATTCATTACGGTCGGCCATTAATAAGCGGCAGAAAATTAAATAGTAAATAACCGGGTTAAAGACGTGGGTTCTGGAAATAACGTCACTGCAGAGCTCTAAAAAAACTTTTAAATCTTTCATAGAGGTCAGTGCCAACATTTAATTTTTGCTTGCCATTTAATTTAGCTCACCGTAATGGCGTCAAGAACATCAGATTTAGGTTAACTGCAAGAGACAGTCGTTTGAGGAAGATGTCTTAAAATGTGCCTGCAGTTAAACAACTTTGCTAGTAATTCGATGAAGAGCTTGGAAATTTATCAGCTGTGGCTCAAATTTTAATCTCATTATTCCTGTCGCTGAAAGGCGACGAAGGCGATAAGGCACTCCCGGGCACCCCAGGCATAGACGATTACCAATATCAGGAAGATAAGAGAGACATAAAAGTAGAATCTCCTTCATCTTTGGGACCGGAGAGCAAGAAGACAGAGAGAAAGAAGAGAAGCCGCCGGAGTGGAATATATTAAAGAACGAATAGAAGAAGACCAGGAGAGATATAGACTTAACCACCTAGCAAATTATTATGTTTTTTTATTCTCGTAACTTCTTTTTTGCCTTTGTATATTTGCAGACACCTAATGTTCTTTTGTTGTTTAATTACCCAAGTTTAAGGCTGTACTGCACAAATCGAAGCAACGATCAATTAAACGATCACCTGCCGCTTAAAAGACCCGCGTGGTACAAGCCAGTGACAAACGATGTAACCAAGTCATTGCAAGCGAAGCAATAACTCACTGCAATTCCAAACTATTTTCTTTACAATTCCTGCTTCTCCGCACAACACAATTTTGTCTTTCAGCATTGTTTCTAATATGAAATAAATTCGGTTACATTGTTCTTTATTTAAAAAAAATAATAATAAAGAAAAAAAACTGTTGTCGCTCTATTATTTATAACTGTTCCAAAAATTGAGCACTATATTCTCAAAACGATGAAAGACTTCAGTCAACAGTGTATGGTTTCATTAAGTTTCAAAAAATTTTAAATAATGTTTCAAAAATTGGAATCAAAAAGAGAATAATGCATCGATTCATCTCAGTTCCGTAATATCAACGAACCATTCCATGTATAACAAATACAGACTCGCTCTGACGACCACTTGACCATACGGCCCTTCTAAAACTTACCGAAGAATGAAGCGTGATACATAGTCCACTGGCACTCCTATGTGATAATTAAACAATACTATTTACAGTCCAAATATCAGCTTTCAGGTTTGACTTCAAATGACAATTGATTTGTGAGAGGCAGTAGTTTAGTATCAACATCTGGCAAAATTCACTGAGAAGAAAAAGCTGGTCTGTTTCTCGTCCCGCCCCTCACAGCGCCACTGCAGTTTTTCAGCCTAACCTTTTTCTCTGTTGTGAGACGTTTCCTCATCCGTCGTAATCCATTCGGGTTTCAGCCTTTTTAGTCGCTCTAAAATTCCTCCCTAAAAACTTTAGAAAAAGATAGTCGATTGCAGTATCCCGAAATGCAGTAGCTCTACTGCTCGACATCACTCGAATTGTCCTTTTGGTGTACGGAATTCAATTTCTTATTCAAAGATAGATGCTAAACGGAGTTACCCGTTCCAAATAAGAGTCAAGAAGCGCGTCCCATATGCACATTTGGAGCAGCCTAATTTCGTGCATAAAACATAGTATTTGCGGGAAAGACGGTTATGAGGTAAAAAAATAAAATTACTTACCAAACGACTAGGCGGTCTATTGAAGGCGGTGCCACAATTAGAACGTCTCAAACAGGGAGAAAATTTGGGAAGTTCGCACTTTTTACGGATTTGTTTGTGGTCGCAACTTGATGCAGTGATTATTTCCCCTTTAATGAAAGCAAAAGGACGAGATCCGCTAATGCAACTCAGCGTAGTATAAAAAGGATCATAGTGGCTCTCTGAATCAAAATTACATTTTTGATGTCATTTTTGAAATTAACAAGACATTGAAAGTCTTATTAAATGTTGTGAGAGCGCTGCCCCAAATGTTCTAGCAAATGGCATTTAGAAGTTTAGCAGTCTGATCAATTCTTTCGTTGATTATGACTTTGACCAGAAAAAGCCCTATCATATTTACCAAACAGTCCAGTATAAACCTGCAGAAGGAGCCATTTTAGACCGTAAAACCTGAATTTTAGCCTTGTGAATATTTGAAATTTCCATCATTTTATTTTTGTCCCAAACTCCTCTTTCGAAACGAGTAAAAATTTCCGCTTCTTCCTGCGAATTTTTGCTTTTGCAATTGAATGTGTTGCGCAAAACATCGTAAGTTGCCCTTGGTGATCAGCCTTTTTCCACTGAAGAACTAAATCTTCATTTTAAAGCTCTGCCTACTGTTGGCAAATGGAATATGTTTTGATTTGATTCTGCTCAACATCCATCAGTAACCTTTTGATTAAACAAAAGGACTAAAGCGGAACTAAAAATGAAAGCGTATCGTCACATTGTTAATCAATTCGATCTTCATCACGGATCCATACAATATTATGTCTAACCCTTCTTCCGCCTTACCGGAGGCTTGACTTTCTTTTTTTCCTAACACTAACTTATTATTGCTTTTTTATTACTTACTTTTTTTTTATTAAGCACTAGTTTCTTTTTACAGTCTTTAGATTAAGCATACTTTTTTCTTTCGGTAATATTGTAATCATCCATCATCCGCTGATGAGGTCCACGAATGGCAGTGCAACACTACGTTAGGTAAGCGAATGTCCGGGCAGGACTGAAACATGCGCTTAGGTCAAGTCTTCCCTTTCTTTCTTACCCGCATTCCTCTTATTTTTTTATCTATATCCACTTAATTTTTCTTAACTTATTCTAAATCTAACTGTTTCCTTTTCATTTGCACCTCACTTAATTTAATGACTCGTCTAGGTACAGTTGTTAGTTAAGTTGTAGTTAAACTTATAATCTATTCAATAGGTTCAACCTCCACAACTGCATTTGATAACCCTCTTCCCTCAAGAAAATAACACTATCATCATCAGTGTCATCAGTGTGTATCAGTCACTATTGATGGATCGGATCTGATTCCCGTTCGACTGAGTGTTCTGTGCGGTTTGGTTTGAGAATAAGTGTCCAATTATCGTCAATTCTTTGCTTTCATCTATTCATCGACTTCCTTCCAGCTTTATTATATTTGATAAAGCACCTATATGGCAGCTTTGTTTCACTGTTTGTTTATTTCGTCTTAGTATTGTTTGTTCGTTAATGGTACTATCAAAGGTTCTTGCAGGTGCCTCAAAAAGCTCTTTCATGTTGTAAAGTTACGTGCTGATAAATATTATTCGTTAGCCACTACTGTACATTACCTACCAACCATAGCTTTAAAGGCACCAATAAAATCCACAAAGGTATCAGGTTCTACGAGACAGAAATCGAGCAACAAAAGCGAAGTCGTAAAGTCTACTAGCTAGCACTGCAGGCCTTGACAACTACAATCGCTCGCAGCGAATAAATTCTAAGGTCGACGACCCCCATAGGGACACCGTAGAGGAGCAATTTGCTTCCGAATTCAAAAAGACTGTCGATAGTTGCGAGACCTTTAGCGAATCTCAAGACATTAATAAAAGATTACCAAACAACAAATATGAATAAGCAACTCCAACAAATTGGAAACCAACAGGAAAAATAAGGAACTTAAGAAGAAAATATAATAGCTATAATCACAAAGCTGCGCAAGGACACAAAACACGAGAGCCGCAAATTACTAGGATTAATTTAAGCTATCATTAACTTTGAATGGTGAAACGAATGAACTCGCTCCCTTATACACACTCATCTGGCAATGGATTGCCAGCATGGCCCCCAAGAGCGTCTCCTAAGGTTCGTACACCGTCTGCGGTCCCTGAAGCCATTCTGCGTGCTGTTACGACACGCAGAAATTGAGTAGTCGTTCTCGTAACTACACTTTCTTCAGCTATAGATCAGAAGTTTTCATATATTTTTATCAAAATATAGTAGCGTCTGTCGTTCTTAGCAGCTGCCAAAAGAAG